CATCCCTACCCCAACCCCTTGTAGAGAACAAGGAGCCGTTTCCACTGATGTCTCACCCCCTGGTGCCCATCCAGCTGCAGCAATGGGCAGCTCGATAGCACCCCTTCCACCTGCTGCTGGATTATTTGCTCCACAGGCACGTACCTGAGAGCAGAACCGGCCCAAAGAAGCCACCCAGCACCGGCTGCTCATCAAAAAATAACACCCTGAACCCAGACAGGGCTTCCTCTGCCCTCGCTGATTCATTTAAAGCTGCCACAGGCAGAGAAAAGCTCATTCGAGGAGCTATAGTGTCCAGTGTGGATGAACTTCATGCATCCCAAGCCTTATTGCAACCACTGTCACCTCCTCGGAAAGCCCAGGGTCCCGGAGCAAGCGCCGCCCGTGGCAGCAGCCGCTGTTGGCCCCCGTGGTTTCCTTCCTCCCCACCACTATTTTCATTCTTGTTGACAGAAAAATCCTGCACCTGCTGCTCGCAGCGCCGAGGAGGAAACCTTCCGCCAAACTGAAAAGGTCACCGGGCTCTTTTCTTCTGCCACGGCGTCGGCAGGGAACGCAGTCAAACGCAGTTGGTGGCCGCTCACAAGCGGTGTCCCCCAGGGCTCAGCACTGGGACCACCTCTCTTCAATATCTTTATCAACCACCTGGACGAGGGGACCGAGTGCACCCTCAGTAGTTTTGCAGGTGACACCAAGTTGGGTGGGAGTGTGGATCTGCTGGAGGGTAGGAAGGCTCCGCAGAGGGGTCTGGACAGGCTGGGTCCTGCCCCTGGGTGGGGGCAACCCCGGGTATCAGCACAGGCTGGGGATGGAGGGATGGAGAGCGGCCCTGCTGAGAAGGACTTGGGGGTGGTTGGTGGGTGAGAAGCTGGACAATGTGATCTCACAGCCCCAGAAAGCCCCCCACACCCTGGGCTGTACCCCCAGCAGCGTGGCCAGCAGGGGAAGAGGGGGGGATTCTGCCCATCTCCTCCACTCTGGGGAGAACCCCCAAAAATTCTGCACTTGGCCTTGTTGAACCTCATGAGGTTCACATGTGCCCACCTCTCCAGCCTCTCCAGGTCCCTCTGGATGGCATCCTGTCCCCTCAGGCCTGTCACCACTCCGCCGGGTGTTGTTGGCAGTCTTGCTAAGGGTGTGCTCGATCCCACTGTACACCCTTCCAAGGCCACCACCACGCAGCCCCATCCCATGGCCACCTCCCCGCTCCCTGGCCAGAGCCAGCCATGAGAAGGGAGAGGCTGGAGCAGCTCCGATTCCTCATCTCTGGGGGAAGCCCCAAGCTGAAAACAGGGTGGGAGAGAATGAGAAGAGAAAGAGGGCGAGATGGACACAGGGGAGGGATGGAGGGGGACGACCAGGTGGTTACACACAACCAGGAACCAAGGCCATTGCTACAGGCTGGGGGGGAAAAAACCAAGGGCCTGATGCTGGTGAATTCTGAGGTGACTCACCCATCGTCATCTTGAACAGGATCCGAGTATCTTCGTGCGTGAGGATCTTGAACCTGGGTGACTCATAAGCACACCTGGATAAATTTTATGCTTGGAGCCATTATTTCATTAATTTTTTTTTTCAAGTTTGCCTTTTTGTTTTGTTTTTTTTTCTCCATTATTTCAGCTGAGTTACAGAAAGGATGATCTTGCCTTGGCAGGAGTCCTCCAGTGGCATTATTGGCCCCTTCCAAACCCAAAAAAAAAGAAGAAAAAAAATCGCTTATGTTCATTTATTACCTTTCCTGCAAAAAAATGGACATTCCTGAACTTAGCTTTCCTGGGCAAGGGAAAAAACCTCCTTCCGAGGAGATCTAACCCAGCTTCCCTTAACTGCTTTGTCCGTAAATTCATCTCCCACATGCAGGTATATACACTCACCCCATGGAAACATCATCTACCTGCAGGAAGGCACAAGGCCTCTGAGATGCCTCCTCAGTGCCACGGGTGAGGAGCAGGGAGCTCCAACGGCTGCTTGGAAGGAGGAAAACCTGCCTCCGGCAGCGCGTAAGGCAGAGGACACGGCTGCCTTCCGGGAGGCCGGCGGAGACGTGCCAACAGGAGCGGCGAGGAGAGAGCAGGCCACCACAGAGGTAAACACCAGCCCCGCTTTCGGAGAGGCAAAAAGCCTCCAGTCAGCTCTGTTTACTTTGGAAGAGGCTTTCCAGCCCCCACACAACCCTATCCCCGGGCTTTCTCTCAGCCTTAACTCTTCACTCCAAACCCAGGCTTGAGCCAGAAGCAGAAGGCTCTGTCCGTCCACAGACTAAATACTCCTCGGAGGAGGAGGAGAAGACGAGCGCCAGCACTCAGTTTACATTGCATGATGCTTTCCAGCCCCACACGACCGGGTTGTCTCTTCCCCTCAACCCAGACAACCCAACCTGAGGCTGTCTCAGCCCCAGCACTGCAGCCCTTCCTTTCACACAATCACAGAATGATACGGGGTTGGAAGGAACCTCTGGAGACCACCTGAGTCCAACCCCCCTGCCAAAGCAGGGTCACCCAGAGCAGGTCGCACAGGAACGCATCCAGGTGGGTTTTGAGTATCTCCAGAGAAGGGGACTCCACCACCTCTCTGGGCAGCCTGTTCCAGGGCTCTGCCACCCTCAAAGCAAAGAAGTTCCTCCTCATGTTGGGATGGAGCTTCCTGTGTTCCAGCCCGTGCCCATCGCCCCTTGTCCTGTCACTGGGCACCACTGAGAAGAGTTTGGCCTCATCCTCTTGACACCCATCCTTTAGATATTGCTCAGCATTGATGAGGCTCCTTCTCAGTCCTCTCTTCCTCTCTTCTCCAGACTGAACAGTCCCAGGTCTCTCAGCCTCTCCTCATCAGAGAGGTGCTCCAGTCCCCTGATCACCTTTGTAGCCTCTCCTGGACTCTCTCCAGTAGTGCCATGTCCTTCTTGAACCGGGGAGCCCAGAACTGGACAACTGGAATTTTCCCAAAACAAACCTTTCCATGAGAAGGACGCAAGCATCAGCCACCCCTCCACTGAGTTTGGCAGCCTCTTCCCAGCCCCAGTACCACTGCAGCTCCAGGCTTTCTCTTCTACCAAACCCAACTCTTCCTTCCCCACAATAAAAACACATCAGGAGATGACTCTTCTCCCCGGACAGACCCTTTCCAGCCACTTTCCACCTGCAGCTTCTGGCCCCAGCTACATCCCTACCCTGAGGACAAGCCGCAAGCCAGAGAACTTGCCACACCAAGAAAGGCTAGAAGAAAGGGATTCATGAAGCCTCATGAAGAGAATTTCCTCAATGGAAGTACTCAAGGCTCGGTTTGACATGGTCCTGGTTAACCTACTCTAAGGTCCTGCTTTCAATGAAGGTGGGACCCAACATGTCCCAACCCACAATAAAAACACATCAGGAGATGACTCTTCTCCCCAGACAGACCCTTTCCAGCCACTTTCCACCTGCAGCTTCCGGCCCCAGCCACATCTCTACCCTGAGGACAAGCTGCAGGCCAGAGAACTTGCCACACCAAGAAAGGTAGAAGAAAGGGATTCATGAAGCCTAGAAGAGAATTTCCTCAATGGAAGTACTCAAGGCTCGGTTTGACATGGTCCTGGTTAACCTACTCTAAGGTCCTGCTTTCAATGAAGGTAGGACCCAATGCGTCCCAGGACTCCCCCTCCAGTTCCACCTCTTCTGTGAGCCTAAGAGGTCCCCTCCTAACAAACAAGAGCCTGTCATCTTAAAAGCAGGTAGGAGATGCTACAGACCAACTTCCAAACTTCAGCTGGGAAGTTAGGAAAAGCTTCCCAAACCCAAAGCAGACCATGTTAAGAAAATATAAAAATAATTCCAAAACCAAGGAAAACGAAACCTTCCATGAACCTCATAACCCTGCTGGCAAAGGGCTTGGGATGACAGACTCACTGTAACATCACACACACACACGGAGCCTCCTTGAGGAAGACCAAACCTTGTGGCCTCTGGACCCAGAGGGCCACTGGAAGGCTAAATGCACAACCAAATGAAAGGGACACAGACCAGAAAGCTTACGTATGACAATCACAACCATAACCATTCCAGCCTCACCTCGGTGGGTTGGTAAGACAAAATTGCAAGTTTCACAGGAACTTGTGATGAAATTAGGAATGGTGGCATCAGGTTAAGAACAGAGCAAAATCCTACTATTTGCTTTCCTTTTTCAGTAGCCAGCGAGCACGTCTCCCTGTGGTGCAACCACTTCTCTGCAGGTTACTGCTCATCAGCCCCACGTCCAGGCCACTCGGCTCAGCTCCCCCTTGGGTTGGTATCAGAACAGTACTCACACCTGAAGGACACCCTCTGTATTTCACATCCATCAATCCATTCGACTTCCAACAGCTGAGAAACTGCAAGAGGGCAAGTGGTCCCAACTTCTGCCCCTGCCAGAGATGGCCCAAAGCGTACAGGACTTCAGAGTCAACGGCGTGGCTCTTCCTCCACCACCACTGTGCACCCTTAATGAGATACTCAGCAGCTTCCCTCAAAGACCCAGAGGAATCAGAACTTGCCATCGCATGCTAGACATTGAAAGCCTTGGGAAAGGTTTATTTGACTTCAGATTCATTCAGCTATTGCTTCAAACTCTGCAAGAAGAGATTTTTCTGGACAAGAAACTGCGAGCAAGCCAAAGACAGATCCACCAGGAATGGGGCAAGCACAGCTGAGCCTCTGCGTTGGGCAAGGGATGGACTTTCACAAGATCCCTTCCATGAGGTGACTTGCTCAAAGCCCAACCACGGAGTAACAGCAAAAGGGGCACCCCCTCCACCAACTCCCCACCTCTGCACGTGAGGCCACCTTTAAGCTTTAGTTCCTCTTTCCACCTCGAGCTGCCTCAAGGACGGTACTTCCCATCCTCTTAGATGGGTACTCCAGAAATTAGCAGGTCACACTAATTGGTCACTCCAAGAGGTCACATGCACCTATCAAACCCATGCCATCTGGGGCTTCTGAAAGATTAAAAAAAAAAAAAAATAAAAACAGAGACAAACAAGAGGATTATTAAAAATTTAACTATATACCATATTTATTATCAATCCACAGGATAATCTGATTGCTACATGAGCTCATAAAAGCTATTTCACCTTTACAAAATTTAAAAAAAAAAAAAATGTGCCACAAGGATGTAATAACTGCTGATAACCAAGGACTGAATCTTAAAATTATAAATTTGCTGTAGAAAAGATTAAAAAAAATTATATTCACTTTAGAATTTTACTTTGAATAAAATATTCCCCTGTATAAAAAATAAAAAAGCTTGCTCTGGTTAGAATTAGAGTATTTTTCTTCTTCTTTTAAATCTGGGAATTTGCATAATATCTCTGTAATAGGTTTCTTCTTTTTTTTTTTTTTTCCTATTGTACCACGCGGCATTCAAGCATAGCAGATTAGAAACAAACATGAGAAAAAGCAGTCATAAAACGTATGAAATCCACATGGGAAGTTTTAACTTCCTTTCCTTTCCTCTATTCTTTAAAAGACACGTTAGCAAGAATAGCCTTGGAAAAGAATACAGGTGGGGAGGGACCTTCAATGTGCCATTAAGTAGAGCAAGGTAATAAAAGGCCTTTTCATAAGTGCTTTCTTAATAAGGTGCAGAAGCAGACTGCAACGTTGCTAGTACTGCACTATGTACAATATTCACAATAGACTTTTTTTTTTTCTTTATTTAAAAATATTCCAGCTAGTTCACATTTTCTCTTCCATTCCGAGGCTTTCAGTTCCATCACAGCCTTGACAGCAAGAAGCGCAGCAGCACCACTTCCCTCGTGGTCGGTTGGTCCTCTTTTGGAAACACTGGAACCTGCGAGTGGGCCAAAGTTCTTGGGGTTGTTTTATTTCCTACACAGCAACCTTGGAAATCCGCCTGGGTTCAGGTGTTCGTACTGACGGCTGGAGTCCTGAGTTAAAAAAACACTCCTGGCACCGGAGTCGGACACAGCAATGTTTTGTTTTTTTGTTTTTTTTTTTATAATATTGCCAAGGCTTTTTTACCTTAGATTTGTCTCGTGTGCGTCAAGGGATGAACCTCTCCTAGAGAAACGTAAAAAATACAAACCCAAACAAAACAAAGCTAAAAAAAAAAATAAAAACCCAACAAAACCACGCCATCGAAAGGCTTAGCAGCTCTTGACTCTTGACTGGGTGATGTCTGATGTTTTCTTGATGACGCTGGCCCGCGTCTCGCGGTCCGGCCGGCTGCTGCTCGTGGAGGCTGTGGACGCTACTTGTGGCAGAGGGATGTCTGGGAAAGGGGGCCAGGAGCTGTTGTAAGGCAGTGGGCAGCTTTCCTCTTTGATGGTGACTTGGAGGTCAGGCTTGTTGGCTACAAAAGTCGCCATGCTGGGAAGCATATGAGAAGTGTTCCTCATTCCCAGATTGCTGAGATACTGTTTGCCTTCAATGTTTTTCTTCTGCCAGTGAAGTCGTCCCTAGAAAAGGGGGGGAAAAAAAGGAGAGAAGACTATATGAGCAAACACGACTTTGCAAAGTGCTCCGAGCAACATGGCAAAGATGGAAACATCTCCAAAATCACCCCATCTCCAAAAGCCTGAGCCTCTAGTTGCTGGCTTTGAATGTCTTTGCTCTCAGCCACGTCTCCCTTTTTGAAGTCCTGTGCCTAAACCTTGGTGGCTCTCCAGCACTCAAGAGGCTCTGCCCACTCTTCTGATGGAAAATCAAGGCCTTATTCCCAGTACGCTGGGGACAAAAGTAGACATGGACGACCAAATCTCAGAGCTCCAACTGGAAGTGTCTCCTCCATTACCAGAGAGGCAGTGTTAGGTTGACAGCTGGACTCGAAGATCTTAAAGGTCCCTTCCAACCTAGACAATTCTATGATCCTCTTGCCACCAGGCAGGCCCAAAGACCCAAGACATCTCAAACAGCACCACCCAAACTGTCAACACAGGTGAGGCTGCCGGGAAAACCACTGTCACCCAATGGTGTGTCCTCCATCACAGAGAAGAGGTTCACCAAGGAAACATGAGCATCCAAGCCCTTTCCCCATCACGTGCCACAATGGCACGTTCTCTGAAGAAGGTTTGGAGAGTCATTATTTACAGTCTAAGTACGAGCTCCACCCTACTCAAGGGCACAAGAGACAAACCCAGGAGGGTTCTCCATGCCGTTATACAGCTGGACAACCTGCAGCTCTCCAAGAAGGAGGATTCAGAGGGCTTTCTAGGGGGCACAGCAGGAGTGAGATTTGCAAGAGGCCTTCTTTGAAAATGCAGCTGCAGCACAGAGCATCTAAGTGCCCTCAGGGAGCTTCCACTGACCTCCAAGTACTCATGGAGATCAGTAGATTTGGGCACTTGATGGTAGCCACAAAAGGAAAGGCAAGTGCTGGTTTTGCATAGATGCAGCTCAGGAAACCTTCATGGGGTGGATATTTTCTCCACGGATTCCTTTCACCTGGCAATACCCAACTAACTGCTTGGGAAAGCTTTTTGCCTCACATACCTCAAACATTCAAGTTACATTTCTGTTATACGTGAAAGCATTTCCTCCAATTGTATGAGTTCAGGTGCCATTTAAGGAAAACAAAGTGAGCTTTCAACCAAGATAAAAATACTCACTACCCAGCAATGTCAATGCATCATACTAACAAACTAGCTGGCACTGCTGATGGCTCGCTAGAACATCTTATCACGCAAATTAATCTCCTTGTAGTCTGGACACATGAGGAGGAAAGAACTTGTAGAGATATCCATTCAGTGACAATCACCCAAATGTCTGTCTCCCCTGAGAGAGAGAGACATTCTCCCTTTGTTTTTATCCCCCAGCTATTATTAAAATGAATACTTCACTGGCAGACAGAGCTGCAAACAGAGAAGGGGGAACGTCCTCAAGACATTATTCTTGAGACCTTGCTTCAAAATGCTAAAAATCCAGCAAACACTCACCTCTGCATTTTCTTCATCACTTGGAACGCTGTCAGTCGTTTCACTTTCTGCCAAACAAAACAGAAGCAAAAATGAAACTCACTCTTCCATCTACGGTAGCAAAATCCAGCTCAAGAGGCCTGATCCACTTCCAGCAAGTGGGAGCAAAGAGTCAAGCCAAATACCCAGTAAACAAGGCAGAAGCACGGACCCCCTGCCACAGCAATCCAAGGGCTATACACCACAGCTGCATCAAACAATGAGAATAAATTCATATGTTTATCACAGTTCACATCGCTACATCCTGGAGAAGACAGCAGCAGAGGGGCAAGAAGTAGGTTTTTTGGGCAGAGGGAAGAGCCTCCCACAAGGCGGGGATGCCCCTCTCCCTTGCCCTCTTTTGGCAGCTCCAGGCCTGGCAAAGAGCAAAGGTCTGTCCAAATCCTAATTGTTATCTCCCTGCAAAACCAGCAACAACTCCACCCCAGAGGAGATAAGTGTGTTTTTGTTTCACAAACTATTATCTCAGCCTGCTGCCTCAAGGGCTTGTTGTCAACTTTTGGTGCTCTATTACTGCTGTTATACTTTGCTCTTGTTTCGCTTTTGCCACCCGTGCCCAGCCTCCCCCTCTCAGCCTATTTCTCAACCCTTCATTCACTGCTCCAGCGAGCAGATATGCTGCTATCTCCAGCCTCATCACCTTCCTCCACTGCAGATGGCCTCCCTCACCCTCATCACTTCAACCAGGGTGCAAAGGCAGGGGAACAGCTCCACCACGACGGCCACCCTCCTGCAGCTGCATCCCTCCCTTTGCAGAAGAGCCTGAAATCCAGGTATTTTGACTGTTTTCAAGCAAGCGTGTCTGAATGCAGGTCTCCCAGTATCTGAGAGTCAGGATCCTGGCCCATGGGCTGGTTGGGAGCTCTGTGCCTCAGATACATCCCAGATGGGGCACAAACACCCCTTTTCAGGACTCCCTTGTGCCTTCCTGTCTCCTGGGAGGATAACCCCAGGCATCCAAAGGGGCTATGGGAGAGATGGGGAGGGACTCTTGATCAGGGAGTGGAGCCATAGGACAAGGGAGAACATTTTTAAACTGAAAGAGGGGAGATTTAGACTAGATCTCACGAAGAAATTATTTGGTGTGAGGGTGGTGAGAGCCTGGCCCAGGTTGCCCAGAGAAGCTGTGGCTGCCCCATCCCTGAAGGTGTCCAAGGCCAGGCTGGATGGGGCTTGGAGCAACCTGGTCTGGTGGGAGGTGTCCCTGCCCAGGGCAGAGGGTTGGAACTGGATGGTCTTAAAGGTCCCTTCCATCCTGAACTATTCTAAGATTCTATGACTCTCTATCTATCAGGCTTCCAACGGCATTTGGAAGAAGTCTTTCTCCAACCAACCCCCACCAAGGCTGAGCTGACAAGGCTCATCCACGCTTTGAGCCAACCAAGTCCAGAAATTACATGGCTGAAGGAACGATGTGATGAGTTATTGTAGCAGGTCAGGGAGCTCTCAAATCCCAAACTTCCACTCTCTGCTCTGCATTACACATTTTAGCCCACACCAACTGCTTTGCACAGCCCCTGAGACCGTAATACCACGGTTCTGCCTTCCTAAAGAGCAAACTTTGTGCTCTGCACTGGACATAATGAGTGCTACAGGTGTATGGACTGCACCTCATTGATTGTGCCCCTGCAGAGAGACTGGCAGCATCTTGCCTTTCTCTTGAGGCTTGGCTAAACATTAGGTTTAGGCAGAGGGATGTAAACCAACGGTCTGAATTGCTCTTTCAGACCCCAGCAGCTAAACTGCACCAAGAATGTCCTTCTGAAGCAAGGAAATGAGCAGCTCAGCTACTCCAGACCACTGCTTCCAAAGCTCCCCTGTGCCAGAGTCTCCAATGCAGTAAGCAGAGGAACAGTCCGAAATATGAAATCTAACCGCAAAGCCCCGCGAAGTTAACACTCTGCAGGGCTTCTCATCCACTGGCCCAGCTGGAGAGATGTGCCAACATTATTAAGCTGGCTAATTAAGTCATACTTGGGGGGAGACGGAGTGGGGGGAGAGGCAGAAATTAATCTGTGCAAAGGAGAAACGGCCCTGGAGATAGAATCAATAGGAGGAATCCACACAGAGACAAGAAACAGATATTCCTTGACATGAAGAAACATGTGGCAACAAAAAAAGAGTGATGCAGCTGAAAAGGAATCCATCCTTGGTGTTTATACATAACAAAATGCTGAGCAAGAGATAGCACTATAGTTAGCAAAGCCAGGGAAGCTAGCCACTCGAGCACGGAAAGTTAAGAGAGGTTATTTCAACCAAGAAGGTTATTTGAATCAGAGTCAAAGAGAAGAGGAGGTTGACAGAACAGTCTCAGTAAAAAAAAGATTTCATAGACGTCAGTGGAAATATGAGAAAACTCACAATGGCCACTCGTATCATTTGCCTGAATAACGTCAGAAAGGAACTAGAGGTGGTTTTGAAATAAAACAGATTTATGTAGGACAGCTGATACCTCAGGCTGCCTTTTTTTTTTTGCTGTTGTTGTTTCAGAAGGGCTAAACTAACTCCTGCACAGCTGTTATGGTCATACTCCTTCCTGCCGTTCAGCGGCCAGGGCTCCCGTGGTTCTCCTGTATGACTTTGTGTGGAGCCAGACAAAGCCAGAAATAGTCACAGGAGTGTCCTACAAGTTTCAGGGTTCTGACAAACCACAGACCCGCCCTCAATCCTGCAAGGGACTGGGCAAATGCATACTATAGAAAAAGAGAAGTTCATAGAACAATTTGGGTTGGAAGGGACCTCAAGAGGTATACATCCCAACCACTTGTTCAAAGCAGGACCAGCTACAGGACTGGATCAGGTCAGGTCTTATCCAGTCAGGTCTTGAAAACCTCCGAGAATGGAGGCAACACAACCTTTTTTGGCATCCTGCTCCACTACCTGGCTGTCCTTGTGGTGAAAAAGGTGACATTTTTTCTTCTATCTAGCTTGACCAAGTTCTCTTCTTTCAATTTATGTCTGCTGTTTCTCATGCTCCCACCATGCACCACTGTGAAGATCCTGGCTCTGCCTTCTCAATAACATCCCTGCAGATAGAGGCAGGCCACTGTGAAGTCCCCAAAACCATCTCTTCTTCAGGCTGGACAGTATCAGTCTGACACTTAATTCCCTCAATATCCCCTCACACAGCAAGTGCTCTAGCCCTTGATCATCCTGGTAGCCCTTCCTTGCACTTCTTCCCATCTGTCTCTCTGGATAGTGACCTTGGCCTCATGCAGGTGTCCCCTCTTTGGGGTCAACTGTAACCTTCTCAAGTATGTACTTCAGCACCCATTGATGAAAATATTACACAGGACTCGTCCCAGGACACAATCTTGCAGTACTCCACTTCTTACTGGCGTCTAGCAAGAGTAACCAGGATCCTCAAGACCTCCCGTGAGATGCATCCAAAAGCACGTCAGTGGCATGAAACCATCTCTGTGTTACCTGAGTTATGGGCTAGCAGGTCCTGCTATCAGTTAGGACAGCTGAAGGCCACCAGGATACTAAGACAACATGTGGGGTGAGCAGAAGTGCTTCAGGCATGCCTCATTTTCCTTCTGCAGGCTTGTTGCATTGACTTCAGGGGAGGCAGATCATGACTTGGAATCACAGAATTATCTAGGTTGGAAGGGACCTTTCAGATCATTGAGTCCAACCATCAAACACTGACAAAACCCACCACTAAACCATGTCCCTCAGCACCACATCTACCCATCTTTTAAATACTTCCAGGAATGGAGATTCCATCACTTTCCTGGGCAGCCTGTTCCAATGCTTGACAACCCTTTCAGTGCAAAAATTTTTCCTAATATCCAATCTAAACCTCCCCTGGTGCAACTTGAGGCCATTTCCTCTTGTCCTACTGCCTGTGACTTGGGAGAAGAGACCGAACCCCATCTGGCTACAACCTTCTTTCAGGGAGTTGTAGAGAGCGAGAAGGTTCATTGCAAGTTAGTGACTTGCTCATGTCAGGGTGGTTCTCCTGTCACCAGACTAAGTCCCCTCTATCATTCCAGCCCAAGCAACCACCAAGACCAAGACAGTGACTTTTGTTTGCATTCCAAGAACTTAGATACTGTAGCTGAGGTTAAAAGAAAGCATCACTTTTATGTTCACACAGAGGGGAAAAGTTTTGCAACAAGCATTTGGAAAGAGGACAAAGGTTTCAAAGGCCCCGTCTCGCAGCTGCTGCTAAGTTAAAGCACCCTCATCCCTTCTGAATGCTCTGGCCGTTACAGACTAAACACATCAGGAAGTATAATCCTTTATCAACGTGTGAGACTAACATTGGAAGCCATTCAAAAGAACATCATTCTATTCACCTGGACCCAAAGATAAAAATTCCTAAATATATATTTTACAAAAACATGTCTGGAAGTAATTTCGGCCTAACGAGTCAAAGGCAAAACCATGTGTAAAATAATAAATTGCATGGGGAACAATTAATACTTAAGTTTGCCTAAAAAGATTACATTTATGTTTCTACCCAGTCTCTTGAGGCTTATAAGTTAGCAACATGTTAAAAAAAAGGAAGGATAAGTTGGATCTGAAACTTTTTCTACTTTCAAATGTGGCTTTGCCCTGCTTCCTACGGAAATAAGGCTTATATGATTGCAGGGACTCTACATGGCAAGCCCGCGTGTGCATTTGTGTCTGTTCCCCCCCAGCCACTTCTGAACACGCTGTCAGACCTGGATAAGGGATAAACAAGTGCCAGAGACTCTTAACTTCCTACTCATTTTATGAAAATAAGGGGCCGAGACAAAAAAAAAAAAAAAAAAAAAAAAAAAAAGAAAGAAACCACTAGCACCCTGACTTGGGGAAAGGCTTGTTATCTCACCCCTTTTCAGATATCAGAGAATCCAGATGGGAGGCAGCCGTTGGAAGGCAGGCGTCCACAGCCCTGCTGCTTTGCAGGACCACTTCTTATCAGTGGCTACACAACTGTTGTACTACTCTGCAGACATTTGTAACGAGACAGATCCGCTCCCCGCTGGGGCCCTCAGCTCCACATCTGCATCAGAGACCTCTAGTGCAGCCCTCAGCACTCTGTGACCACCGAGGACACACGCAGCAGAGAACACCTTGAATCTTTAGTTAACTCAGGGGGCAAGGGGGACACGCTGTATTTGCAGCACGTTATTTGTACCCACTGAAAATGCCACTCTAATAAAAGACACGTTACATCTAAAAAGGTTCATTTTCCATTAGTCACAGGCTAAAATCTGCAGCTTATGTTTCCAACCTCAGATCTGCCCAGTTGTTTCCCAAGGTGAAATAAGCAGAGGACGGTGAGTTTTTGAGTTTCATTAAAAATGCAGAAGGTGGCCAAACAGACATTTGTGGATTTTTTGCCAGTTACCCTGGAAGAGCTCCCTTTTCCCCCCAGCATCTTCCAAACGTTTCCAAAAATCAGAGTGTAAAGAACCTCCGGGATGCTTACCTGCATAGGATGAGACGGGGGAGATCTGTAGGGGGTACAGATGGCTCATGCTGAGGGGCTGTTCGTCGCTTTCTGTTGTCACCTCTACTACCTGGCAAACGTCAGGAGGATTGGCAACTATCACCTGCTCCTCGCTGCTGCCATCAAGGTGCGGCTGTCCTACAACTTGGGGTTAGAAATAAAAAAATTGATTACTCCTAACACCTTGACCCGGCTGGATCTCTAAGAGCCCATCCTTGGAGCCTCCCTGGTACGTGAGTGAGTCTTCAATACCTTCTCCTTCTTCTTCCTTCCACACCCACCACCTGCTTTCAATGGGACTTCTACAGGAAACCCGTGTGATTTGCTTAGTTTCCATGACCTTCGGAGACATTTTTTTCCTCCACTTCTACAGGGAAGACCACAGCCACACTCCTCCTCCACCCAGAACCGTGGTCTCCCCAGGACATACGGACTGCAGCCACCTCTCCTAATCTGGAAAAGCATCCTCACCCATCCTCAGCACATCCTCTGGATGCTCTCATGTAAATTATGCACCAGAAAGAACAGAGCTGGCTTGCAAAAAACCAGCCACAGGGTCATGTAAAACATGGCGGGACTCTGATTTATACATGACATTAATCTGTGAAAAATTTCTCCTCCAATTAATCCTCTGGATGCTCTCATGTAAATTATGCACCAGAAAGAACAGAGCTGGCTTGCAAAAAACCAGCCACAGGGTCATGTAAAACATGGCGGGACTCTGATTTATACATGACATTAATCTGTGAAAAATTTCTCCTCCAATTAGATGCTTATTCTCACTGATCCTTGCAATGTCAGTGATGGTGTTTAGAAAAACATGGTTTTACCTGTAGTCTGTAATCCCCACTGTCTATGACTGAAAGCTACACTCTGGGTAGTTATTAACAGAGGGTCTTCCTTTCCCTCCAGCCACATGGTATTTAATACAAAGGAACATTATTTATTTCTACAAAGTGAAGGCACCGTGGATGCTTTGCAAGTGTCCTGCAGTCGTTACGTGTGCTACACAACATCCTTTTGAAACAGGGGAATAAAATGAGGTACCAAGAAGTTACTGAGCAAAGCAAAACTAGGGTGAAAGCCAGAATCTTGCTTCTCTGGAGCTGCTCAAGACAATCCCCTCTGCCTTGGACAACTCCCCTGTCGATCCCAGCAGGATGAACTGCATGAAATCCAGCATGGAGCTGAAAGCTACCAGCTGGATTTGAAGAGCAGATGGGGATGGAGCTGTCTGAGGGGTTGGCTAACCTGAATCCACAGCTGACCACGAGAAAGCAAAGGACTACAGATATTCTTTCACCGGAACACAAAGCTTCAAGGAGGAAAATTTTCATACAGACAATTTCTGTGCAAACAGGGTGCTGTGGTGTTAGAAATTCAGACAGTACATTTTTTCTGTACTCATGATGGGAAAAAAACGTGGGCAATGAAACACAGTAGAGCTAGAAATTCTTCTGTTAAGTGACTTAATTACTTTGATTTTATAAAAGGCAAAAGATAGCACCTATTCCTGGATCAAGTAAGATAAATATACATGAATGGCACACACAAGCCATTCCTGCCTGCTATGTTTAGGCAGGGCTAGAACACGACTTTTTCAAAAAGAAAAGTGACAGTTTTTTTTCTCCCAGAGAAAAGCTGCACATCATTTTGCTTTGTGAAGTGCCAGGTAACCACTGGAAAGTAACCCAAAGCTGGATGTATATTTTACGAGACAACTCCAGCATAAAGAAAATTACATAAACAGAGGATAATCTTTTCTTTTAGAAGTTGAATTACTACAATTACTACGATTTTGTTCCAGATATTTCATTTCCACTGTATTTCTCCCTTTCCTGGTTCTGAAACAACTTGCTTTTTATTGAGTGGGGTGTGAGGTCAAGAGCACACACACAGAGTTAATTTTTATCTGGGAGAAACCAATATTGTGCAACCCTGCCAGGGTACAAGCAGGCCATCTGCACTGTTTTATCTTTCTCCTCAGTACCTGATGAATTTTTACCCGCCCCGAGAGATAACTTGCACAGCAAAAATTACTGCTCACTTGGGCAATATGCCACCACTTGCCTGTGAGCTGTGCGTCTGTCAGAAACGCTGCAGGTGCTGTTTGTCTTTCCTCTCCTCCAGCTGACTTCCCTCTTTTCTGTAGAGCAGAGCTATTTTACCCTTTTCCCCCACTGTTTACATTAAAATCCTGCTTGCAGTCCTAAATAAGGACTTCTGTCTCCCATCTGGATAAGCAGCACACTTCACAAGCCATTAATTAAACACCACTGGCTGACAGTTACCCACCCGAGCCTTGCTGTCCTACCCCCGAAAATGGATTCTGTGAGTCCAGAGAAAAATGAAAGCCTTTAAGGTGCAAATTCAGTTCTGTTCCTCTGAACCCTTTGCTCGGTTTCCACAGCAAGCCTTTGACCATTTTTAGATGTTGGTGTTGTCATTATGGGTCGTTTCCTGTAAATTAGTGAGCTCTAAGGTACAACGTGCATCCATCTCATCATAAAATCAAACAGGAGTTCAGGATACACTGTAGAGTAGAAAATCAAGAGTGCAGCAAAATGATTCTCTCTGATGTTAGTGGGTTTTAGGGAACACCAGTTACATTCCAAAGACCACTGTTAATTAATCTGTTTGACTTTACGACCATAAAAGTGTATAAAGTTCTTTCCTGGGACCACATATTGGCCTTGGCATGCTCCAGATTTGTTTATGAGTCAGTCAGTAAACAGGAAGCACTAATAGCACTACAGTGCTATTCCTTCGAGTTATAAACCCCTCTGTAATAGTAGGAGCAACAATCACGTTCTAACACTCTTACAGAGCAACAGCTGATTAAATGAACTGCCATAAAGAGAGGAAAACAACCCACAAACTCTTCAGCCCCAGAAATACTCGAGGGGAATGGCTATGCAAAGCCCTGCGACCTAAGGCACGGGCATCAAAAACAGTCACTGCACAGAATTTCTGTCCTCTCTCCAAACAGAAGACTAACATATTTTTCAAACACTTTTCAGACATATATAAAAGTGGAATTCTAGAGAAAACGGTATATGGGTCACATTTCAGGAGCCCTCACTGCAGTGACAACCTCAGCCAAAAAAGAGCTGTCAAAAACCAGCCCAATTATTCTACCGAGAACCAATTATTCACATGCTGAGATGACAGCTAATTCCTCATCTACCAGCTTCTAAATGCAGTCTTTGCTGATCCTTGCTGTTAGTGATGTTAAGAACTAACTCTGCTACTGAGCTGCCAGTAAAAAAAAGAACCAAGTTCCTCCATTTCATCTGCAGGTTTAAACTCCCAAATAAAATGGTACCCTGTATAAATCTCTGCTTGGGAAACCACCATCCAACTAGGGTTTAACTCCTAAGTGACACTGGCTACAGCCTTCTCATAGCTGAGGACAACCCTGTGGAGTAAGTTCATGTCAGGAAAATCCACCTGAGCACCTCTGGAAGTGCTTTGCTCTCAGGGGAACCACCACGCTGCCACAGCACTGCTTGGGGTCTCTGCAAGGTGGTGGGGGGACCTGGCATGGCTTGGGCTAGTGAAAACTCTGTCGACCCGACTGTAACTGCGGTGTTCTCCAAAGGGCAAAAAGCTGAATTTGGCAGAGTCAAAGAGGTTTTTGAAGCCACCTGTATGCTTAGCATATAAGAAAAGCATAGAAGTACTTACCTACAAAGTTCACTGTACTGTCAACTTCATTTTTTATACTGGAGGACAGGAAATAGTCAGAAGTGACATCATTTAGCCCATTAATCCCAAAAGATGATTCAACTGGCTCTTGCTAGAATGAAAACAGTACAGTTGGGTCAGGTTTGATTTATTTTAGGAGCCTGAACTCAGTTCATCTCTTTGTTCTGAGACAGTAATAAATCATATCGCTTCTGCCTGCCATGTACCCCCTGCTCTCTGCTAGACACGGCCTTAGAACAAGTATTTTGGTTCTCTGAGAAGCAGCCAGAGTCTACTCTATTTCCAAATCTTCTGCTTTGAAATGAAAGCTATTTTTAATTTTCAGATTTAGAGTGAGCTTCAGAGAGCAAGAAATTAGCTTGTTATTTACTAAAAGAGATTAATATTTGGAACAAACAAGGAAGAACCACTGCTTTAAGATGGTACTCTATTTAATGTTCATCCTCATTCCCTTCCGAACACGCTCTACCCCTTAGTGCTCTCTGAAAGGAAGCCTCAGCTTCTGTACAGCAGTTACTAAATTCTAGCCTTAATTTTTCTCTGCAGCAAGCCTGAAAGCAAACCAAAGTGTTTACACTAAATACAGCCTTTTAGATCACATCATAAACATTACCACAGGGCAATAACGTTGGGAAAACACCACCTGTTCTACACAGATTAAGCTTTCCACAAGATGCGTCTCTGTAGCTTTGGTACACTCGAGTGGGAATCTAAAAAACTCCCCTCAGAAATAGACACCAAAAGGTATCATTCCAGAAACTCAGGATTTCTTCAAAAAGCTATAAACACATTTAAAGAATCATCTACAGGTCCAGCCTCCTCGCCAGTACTGGCTCTTTTACAGGGTTATTGGTGAAAGTCTGAAGTCTTCTGCTCTTACTCTGGGCTGGCCGTGCCACCCTGCAAGGGAAGTTCTGCCTCACTGGTGACCCAGAGACACCTGCAGAGAGATGTCCAGCTTCCAGCTGGCTCTGATGCCACCTGTGCCCATTTTCACAGCTCTAAAGCACTTGGGCAAAGGCAAGGCAAAAGCGAGCCTCAAGATTCGTGGTGCCAGCCCTTCAGGATACTAACTGTATGAACTATTATCACAGGGACAAAACACTGGGGATGGCATGACAGGTCTTCCTCCTGGACACCACATGCCGTAACTCAAAAAAAGCTGTCACTTGGACAAAAGTCTGTGCCTTCCCAGCCATGAAATATGGCCTTAAATGCAATCACAGAATCACAGAATGGTTTGGGTTGGAAGGGACCTTAAAGACCATCCAGTTCCAACCCCGTGCCCTGGGCAGGGACACCTCCCACTAGACCAGGTTGCTCAAAGCCCCATCCAACCTTGTCTTGAGCACCTCCAGGGCTTGCATCCAATCACCCACCCTGCCCCAAGGCCCCTCTGCCCATCGGAAAGGTGCAAAATTAATGCTAAGCACAACCAGGTCTTTGATGAGCTGCACCGGCCCATGTCAACCCACAGGAGAAAGAACTGGACAGGTGGAAAAGATAAAATTAGCAGTTATTGATCCACCGAGGATCACTGACTGCAGAGACAGGTTAGGGCTGCACACTGGAGCCCTGACCATCTCGTGTTGTGCAACCCCTCAGCAAACACAGCAGCCCCCATGGGAACCCTGCGTGCCCAGCACCTTCCTCAGCTTTACTGAGGCTTGGTTACTGGGAAATTTATTTAGTGGTTACTGGGAAATTTATTTAGCAGCGCCTTTCAAGCCGCAGAAACAAGTACGCATCCTGGGAACTCGGGTGATGGTGCCAGATTGTTGAAGGGACTTGGACACTGGCACGGTTGGTGTTAAATCACCTAAATTTTCAGTGTCCAGATGCCTGCTGGAAGCCTAACCTAAATACATGGGGAAAGGTGTCATTTAGATTTTAAGAAATGTCTCAATGAGGAGCTGCATGCATAGTCAAAAGGATAAATCTAGGATAAGGTAGAAATTAAGCCTCAGGCAGGCAGTTCAGCCCTTAATTTTGTTTCAAAGGAAAGAGCCTATTTTTATCTAAGCTACTCAAGACACTTACACCCTCCTCCCATCGCTGAGAATTCACATTTTAATGGAGAGACCCCATTTGCCCCAAAGTTCACTCCCACCAGCAGTTGTGTGGGTGCCCACAGTGTCCAGCAGTGGCAAAAGGAAGGAGGTCTATATGAGACTCTTGCTATGCTGGAGTCCCTTTGCAGATCTGCACCAGGATGCTCAGCTTCTCCCTTGGCTGATATTACCCCATTACCAGGCAGATGGTGGAACAGCCTCCCACTCACCTCTGCTTAAAGAGAGGTTTTCAGGGTAAACTGCAAGGTGTTCCATGCAAAACACACAACTTGGATCTCAGGAACTCGCATCCCCGAGCGCAGCAATTATAAGCAGCTTTCAGTGCTCAGAAATGTGCATTTGCATTAATTCATCCACCGCCCCTCCCCGTTATTATTGCCTTCAACGTTCAATAGTCAGGCAACCAGCAGCTGAGCATGGAAAGAACATCTATTTTAAAATCCAGGCATATCTGGAGGCCAGCTTGTGTACAGATTTGTCAGGATAAGGGGGAACAGACACAGGCTACCACCAGAGTCACGCTGTAACAAACACAGGTGGGCTGCGGGATCCAGACAGGATGGTTAAAAAGTGGTTCCTTTAGGATGATTTAAAAACCCCATCACAGTTTTCTGAGGTGTAACTCCACAATTCACAACGGCCGGGAGAGCGTCTGCCTTCCAGACCTGATTTCAGCAGATTTTGTCCAGGTTCAGCTGGCCCAGAGCATCTCGCAGCCAGCGGGTGCAGGACCCGTGCCCAGGCGTGGGTGGCACAGCCCTTCACGAGCCAGCAGCAGGGGACCAAGCTGCCCTTCTGCTGCAGACACGGCTGCTACCAGCGACCCAAGGACACCAAATTTTCCAAAGGCTGAATGTCCGAAACCTCTGCAATTTGCTTGTTGACAAAAAAATCGAAGGTGCACCACCAAACCCTGCTGATACGTCCTAGTGGCCACCTCGAAGAGGCACTCAGAAGTGTGACAGCTAGGGGACACCCTGCTTTGTATGGAAAGCAGTTTCAGTCCTCAAAAAAAACCAAACCCTCAGGCAACAACTGTGGAGCTCTGCAACTGAGGCTTTACAAAACATGAGCAGAACATGCAGCTCTGACAGAACTTCTCCCCCTCGCCCAAACGAAAATGAATTTCCAATGCCTTACACGCAGAAATTAATTGCTTCAAAAGGTAGCTCTATTGTTCAGAAGCATTCCTTCCCTAATTACTGTACTTCTACTTACTCAGACAAACAAATGGCAAAATGTATCGCCGAGGCTGCCAGTTTTCCAACCTCCAGGCGTTGCAACACAAGGGCTGTGTCGACTGATGACGTCAGTCGCGGCTCTAACAGCCTTCACGTTTTGGAAAAAAAAAAAAAAAAAAAAAGAAAGAACAAAACCCACCCCTAAACACTCAATGTAACTGTAACTTCTTAACCAAACCACAAGCACGAGAGATTTGCAAATATCCACCACAATGTACTATTGGGGCTATTAAAAAAGAAATTGCAACAGATTGTTTTCACAAGCTCTCACACTATTTAACAGCCACTTCTTACCTTAATTTGTTTAAATTTATCATCCTTCTCGGACTTCGTTTTTTTTCCTGCAACAACAGAAGGAAGATTTCTTAAAGTCCTGTGTGCCACGAGTTATCCTCCATGCCATCTACATTCACTAGGAAACAGACCCAAGACGTGCCTCAAAATAGCAGCACCTCCTAGGAAAGGGTGAACACGTTTTTGCTTAATTTTAAACCCCCTGGGCAGTCAAAAAATTTACCTTGAACATTCTGGCTTTGTGATTCCTTTTGAAAGGGCTATAAAAAAAGAACTAGGATGGGACTGCGAAAAGCAATAGCAGTCAAACAACCAAGGGGAAAAATATGTAAGGGTGACAAACTAAGCAACAAGGCTTGTTAAAAAAAAGAAGGAAGGGGGAGAAAAATACTCTTAAAGGGCAAAAAAATCAAAATATATGTCTCGTCACATTTCTGACACTTTCACTGTATATAGGAAAAAGGATTTTGCTCACTGATTTAATATGTGAAAAGAGATCACGATAAACTTCAACAAGTATTTTTGTAAACAGTTGGAACCTGAGCTGAGGGGGAATATGCATTATAATTTATGCAAAAGAAGTTTCTGTAGTCATGCTGGAATTGAGAATCCAGAAAGCTGCACAGCATATGACCCTCACAAAATGCTGTGTGCCTTGGCAGACCCCAACCTTGCTGCCCCTGCTCTGACCTGACGTGGAAGCTCAGACCTGCTGGTGCAGGCTCGGCTCTACCCCACCGTTTGCACAGACGTGTCCCAGGAATTTCTCCCATCTCTACAGCAAGACAGCCCTGAGAATTAGATTGTTTGCAGCCAAATTCTTTTATTCTCACTCATACGTAATTTTAGCCACGTGCCATGTAGAAAGGGCATGTGAGAAAATATACACAGCCCAAAATATGTCAGGAGTTTTATAGTAACCGGACTGGCTGCAGCATCCTCTCCTGCTACAGCCCAGTCTCCAAAATCTCAGCTTTCATTATGAACTTTTCTAGTTCTTACAGCTATGAGAGGAATCTGCCACAACAGGACAGGTTATGGTTCAGGGAAATACACCTGAATGTACAAAACACACCATCGACAAGACACTGGAAACAGCTTCAAAGCAAATGATCTACCTTTTGCAGATTGATCTCTCTTTCATAGTGTGATTCTGCCCCAAAAATGCCAAAAGTTCATAACTTCCAATCACACCGCCCTTAAACTGAAGAAGTGCCTTTCACATCTCAATTTAAGAAAATGGCAAACTGGCCATGTGAATTGAAATGGATTTTAGAAGAACACCATGCGTTTGGTTTGCAGATCATCTTTTGTCCCAAAGTCCTAGGTACCACCGTTCTACTCCATAAACCAGTAAGGAAGCCAACGAGCCATAAAGAAGCCAATGTTTCTACTTCGTAAGAAACCAAATACTCATGAGACTGACCTGGTGGTTAGGTCCTCTCCTGGCAGGTGAGAGACCTAATCCCTAAATTTGGGGATTCAGACCTAGTTTCCCATTTCATCATTATCATGCTGGGAGGGCTGGTTTTTCATGGCCCAATGTAGCTACGGAACTAACAAACTGGTTTCACAGTTTGATGTTCTGAGCAGAGTGCAGTCCTCCTGCTCAGCTCAACAGAGCACCAGCTGATTTCTATCCTTGCTTGAAAAAAGATACCAAAACGTCTGCCACCGCAATGTGAATATGCCATACTGAATTAACTGCATTGATTTTTAATATTCCCTAATCATCTTCCTTGACTGAAGAACACCTGGGACCAGCATCTGAACACAACTCCATTGGCTGTAACAGAACTAACACAATTTACACAGACCACCAGCTTGGGGGTAGCACATCTCTTGGATCCTCTTTCCCAGCGGCTTGTTCCCTTAACTGAAAGGAGCCCATTTTTCATATGGGTGTTCCTCAATTCTGGGGAAAACCTGGATAAAAACATCCAGTTTCACAGCAGAAGTAGAACAAGGACATTTTGTGGGCCCCCGAATAATAACAATGCCCCCAACACCATTTTCACATTGACAAGCTCTCCTCTCTACCTTTTTTGGAAGGTCTTTCCGATAACGGCAGCATCCGGTACACCCTGAAGGCGTTGTTTCCTTTCTTTATACTTTTGTCCTTCACTTCTTCTATGTCAGGCAGAGAGTTCATAGCACAACGGAAGTTGGCCTTCCATGTCTTTGGATCGGGTTTATCTACTCCTGACTGGTATTTCCCTAAGTAAGAAAAGAAAGTTAGGCACACGTGAGGTGTAATTGAAAACCTAAGGTGAATTAATAACAGCGTAGCTATCAGCCTTTGGTTCCCATGACAAGCACTCAAACAACAGCTGAGGTTGCAAGAGAGGGAGCGTTGTGATCTCATTCCCATTGCACATTTCTAGAACACATGATGAAGAGTTTCTGCTCAAGAAAGACCCAGGGCACTGCCAATCAGATGCGACTCCACACCAACGTGGAAGAGCTTGCACAGCATTTACCTTTATTATGTCTGGCTCAAATCCATAGAAAGGCATAAAAAGCCTAAGGGCCCAAGTCTACAAAGTGCTGAGCACGCTCTGCTCCTGACAATTGCGAACCCAATCTTGTTAACGCTTAAATCAATTAAGTTTTACTGTGTTCCTCAATGCAAATGAGTTATGGCACTTCAATAAAGCTGGAGAGTATCGCAGACCTTGAAAGAAAGCACTTAAGCCTCCCACAGATTTAGAACCTTAAATCCACTGTGTTAGTAAAAGCAAAGCCAAGAAAGAAAATATAACTTTAAAAGGGGAAACAATGTGAAAATCTGTCCTGCAGAAAGAGAGTTCCAATACCTGTGTGAATTGCCCAGTTTCTAAATAAGGGAGCATCTTTTTCAACATCCCACCCATGTCTCGCGGCATGCATCCAGGGAATCTGAAAAATCTTCTTCTCCTGGAAGGGAAAACAAACAGGAAATGCCAACACTGATTGACTTGAGGGATCTTCTGATGACTTTAAGCCACTTGTTTAAAAACACAGTTCCAGCATCTGCAAGTGTGTTGCTTCCTTCTAACCCAGTGCCTCTGTCATTGAACTCGACAGGAAAATATCTGCTGGTGTCATCAAAAGCAGAATATGGCCCTAAGTGTATAAAATACTTGGATGCCCCTTCACGGACAATGATGAGCCTGGTGGCTTTCCAAGCTGACACACGGGTAAAACATGCAGCACTACATATTTCTAAACGTTCAAATCAAGGCTAGTTTTGGCAGCACAGGCACTTGCATGATTAGAAAAATTAGATATGAAACAAAACAACCACAGGAACAGAGCAAATTCAAGGGGTTTAGAATTCAGGCAGTAAAATACTAGCACAGTGAAGGAAAGGGATCTCTCAAATTTATACTCCAAGCAAACAGACGTATGAATATATCAACCATTAGACATTTCACCCATGGACACCCATGTGAAGGGGTGGCATTGAAGATAGTTGAATGTATTTTAATTTAAAAACTTTAGGCATTTAAAGCAATCCAAAGGAAGGCGCTTTTTAAACATAACACATAGTTAAACCAGAGTATGCCTTATGTGGTGGAGGTATAAAGTGATTCCCAAAGGGACCAGAAAAACTCATGGAAGATACTACACTGGTGACAAACAACCCTAGACAGGCAGCTCATTTAAATAACTGCATTGTAGATGCCTGTGGTCGGGTGAGATTAATCCTTTGCCCTTTCCCCTTCCTCCAACAACCACTTTTCTTCCTTGTCTGCCTAGTTAATATGTCACTAATGTCAAGGTTAGGTTTATTTCCCTTCCTTTCCATGTGATCTTTTCTTTTTTTGAGCCTGCTCTTTGTATCGCACTTCAGCTCTTTGTCTTCAATCCTTTCTCTCATTTGCATCCACTTGTTCAGAACTGCATTCTTCCCTTCTCGCTCGGCTTCACCTTTGGTGCCAATAAATCTGTTGTGGTTTAGGCTGGGCTGGGCACTAAACAAACGACAGATGCTCTCTTTTAACCTCTCTCTGCCTTCCCTGAAGAGAAGGGAGAGAGACTTACGGGTTGAAAAGAAACTAAAACTACTTTAATGAAATATTAATAATAAAAGCTGGCAATATCAATAAGAAAATAATGAAATATCTACAAAACCAGTATTGAGCTCCCAGGATGACGATCACATCACCGGCAGGCATTGGAAAAGTCCCAGACTGGAGTCTGGAACTGGATTCCGGAACACACAGATCAGGATCAAAGGCAAGGACATGGACAGAGTCCTCCTCGGAGACCTACCGTTGAAGAAAAGAGCCTGAGACAGAGTCCTCCTCGGAGACCTACCGTTGAGGAAAAGAGCCTGACCCCTTTGATGCCTCAGTTTTCATACTGAGCATGGGGCAGATGGGTTGAAATACCTTGTTGGTCAGTTCGGGGTCATCTGTCCTGTTCCCTATTCCCCACAGGTGTGACCCCTCTACGCTGTTGCGCTTCCGACCCTTCAATGGGGCATATAAATAACACAAAGTGAGCTGACCGTGGTTGTTACAGCAATAAGCTTAAAAAAGAGCCTCTCTGCATACCATTCCTTGGTATTAAATATAAACATCACATTTATTTCCCTTCCTTTCCATGTGATCTTTTCTTTTTTTGAGCCTGCTCTTTGTATCGCACTTCAGCTCTTTGTCTTCAATCCTTTCTCTCATTTGCATCCACTTGTTCAGAACTGCATTCTTCCCTTCTCGCTCGGCTTCACCTTTGGTGCCAATAAATCTGTTGTGGTTTAGGCTGGGCTGGGCACTAAACAAACGACAGATGCTCTCTTTTAACCTCTCTCTGCCTTCCCTGAAGAGAAGGGAGAGAGACTTACGGGTTGAAAAGAAACTAAAACTACTTTAATGAAATATTAATAATAAAAGCTGGCAATATCAATAAGAAAATAATGAAATATCTACAAAACCAGTATTGAGCTCCCAGGATGACGATCACATCACCGGCAGGCATTGGAAAAGTCCCAGACTGGAGTCTGGAACTGGATTCCGGAACACACAGATCAGGATCAAAGGCAAGGACATGGACAGAGTCCTCCTCGGAGACCTACCGTTGAGGAAAAGAGCCTGACCCCTTTGATGCCTCAGTTTTCATACTGAGCATGGGGCAGATGGGTTGAAATACCTTGTTGGTCAGTTCGGGGTCATCTGTCCTGTTCCCTATTCCCCACAGGTGTGACCCCTCTACGCTGTTGCGCTTCCGACCCTTCAATGGGGCATATAAATAACACAAAGTGAGCTGACCGTGGTTGTTACAGCAATAAGCTTAAAAAAGAGCCTCTCTGCATACCATTCCTTGGTATTAAATATAAACATCACATCTTATCACTCTGGAAGCAGACACTGTCTGAAAATTACACCCTTAATTTCAGAGAGCGCAGTTAGTTAGAAGAGACTTAACTGAAAAGTAAAATTACTGAAAATAAAATTGGTGCTATTCTGTCTCAAACCAGGACATCTTTAATTTGGTAAAACCACAGATTTAACACGTTCCCGCGCTCTAATTCTTCCCCTTAATCTATTCCCATCATTTCTTTCATGTACCTGTTGCCCCCCTACTCTTTCCCCCTCTACATAGTTAAATCATCCTACAGAGATGGTCTCCTCTTTCCCCAAGTAGAAGTGGCCTAAAGAAAGCCTCAATCCCACTATCCTGGGGTCCACAGCACTACAGCATTCATCGGAGTGAGAATAAGGTTCCTTGCCTTGACTCTCCCACAGACTATAATCAGCATGGAAACAAATTCATACTTCCATAGAAAACAATTTCTATCAACAAGAACTTTAACAATTGGCCAGATTAAAGAGTCTTCTCATGCTTGGTGATAGGAAGAGGATGGAATAATGCTACACAATGCTACAGAGGTTATACCATGGATTTCATATTCCATATGATAATTCAAGAAGTTCTATAGGAACTAGCAGACCAAACAAGACTCCAGACATCGCATCCTGGCATCATCAACCCTACTCACAGCTCCAAAGGATGGTGCAAGAATGCTCTCAACAGCACTCTAAGCATTCACTATAGTTTTTCTGTCCATTACACAAAGTTCTTCCCAATCCCAGATGTCTTGAAACACATGGTCTTATAGCAAATTATAATACAAGTAACGAAATCATAGAGTCCACGTGTATTATAGCTTTATAATACACGTATACTAGAGTCCACGTGTATTATAGCTTTATAATACATGTATACTACAGCTTATCTCATCAACTACCAAGTATCTAATCATCTCTGAAATCCCACGAGACTGATGATTACAGCAACGTCGTGCGCCTGTGTGTTCTGCTCTAGTTTACCTTATGCTTTCTATTTAAATACTGATTTTTGATTTCACATTATGAAACATTTACCTATTTCCTTCTTCAGTTGATGCTCCCTAATAATGACCTTAATTGGAAAAGGCTCATCAGTGCTTTCTCTTAGACTTGGAAAACCATGTGCTGCCTGGTACAGCGCTCCATCCCCGGACATTTTAGCCTCACCTAAAGTCAAAAGTACAACCCACAGAACTTTTGCAGGAATTGCTACCAAACTCCAGTGGAGACATCAAGAAGGAAAAAGGTGTCACATTCTTAGAAACAGGCAGGAGGAGGCAAATAATATCAAACCCAGCTTGCAACCCCAGCGTTGCAAAATGCTCCAAGCAGATGAATGAGCATGAGATCACATATTAGCTGGAAAGTCATAGGACAAATTTTAAATAGCGGCATCCATCTGGAGGGTAACACTCCAAGCATCCATCAAAGCAGCAGGTTGCCTCTCGACTCCTGTTACAGCTACTCTGCATATTTCCACTCTAATTTCCTTTTCCAGACCCACAAGGGACAATGACCTCCCATTATCCCCATCCTCACACCACCTCTGCCCTCTATTGAACTATGTAATTTCCTTCACACCTCCCAATTTTGTCTCTCTGGGAGGGAGAAGAAATTCCCTTCCTCCCTCATGCCATGCAGCAGGATAACATTTTCACCAGGAGGGTACACAAGCATTTATTTTTTAAGCCCTATAGAGAGGGGTTTGTTCTGGAGGGAAACACAAAGCAGGAGGTATAATGTGATCAACTGACAGTAGGGGAAGGAATTAGGTAAGTTAGCAGTACCTGATTTGTCATTTTTAACCCTGAGAGGTTTAATTCCGCAAGAAGAGACAGTCAGTGACAAACCTAGAATGGTATTTGTTTCCTTTGTATTAAATCTTATTTCCTTAAAAGTTGTCCACGCGGATAAGTGCGATTCTTTTGCTAATCTGACCCACCTTCTTTTTTTCTATACCATGAACTGGGCTTTGCCAAACTTCAATTAAAATATACAACTCCCAAAATCCTGCAGCCCCCAGAGTCAATTCTGTGGGTACAGAAGGGGCTGTGATACACAGAACACTGTATCATTGATTCCATGCATGGCTTTGTTTATGGTCAGGATTTACAGTAAAAATAGAAATATTTTTGGTTTAATGATTCACTGTTGGAATGAATGTTTAAACATTTTTAAACAGAAATGCTCAGAAGTGCAATTAGCTTGTTGAGCACAATAAAGGCAACCCAGAATGATGCCAAATCAGACGACAGAAATGGGGAATCAGAGTTTAATAAACCTCAAGGCATGCCACTTAGCCTGGTACCCTACCCTCAGGTAGGGGCCATGGCTTTGTTGTAGGAAAAAAAAAAATCCATTTCAAAATACTTTATTTGTGAGACAAGCCTTGGTCAATATAGAATATGCAAACTAAGGGCAAAATCTCCTGCCAACTCCTGCATGCAAACAGTTTATGCCAGAAGCACAAGGCAAAAACCGCTGTAACAACAGGATCAGAGGGCTGCAAACATTAAACAACGTGACATTGCCTTGAAAACTCCCTTTATGAGCTGCTGGGCTTAACTTGAAAGAATGAAACCCTGAGCACAGTGGCAGCGTCTTCACACTGCAGAGCAAAGGAGGAAAGTACATCCCTGGGATGTACTGAAGAAGGTTACGAAAGAATGAAACCCTGAGCACAGTGGCAGCATCTTCACACTGCAGAGCAAAGGAGGCAAATACGTCCCTGGGATGTACCGAAGGTTATGTGAACAAAACCCACAGATGACATTATATTTAAGAGTAATATGCTCAAATCTGAAATACCGTGCCCTACTAAGTACAGAGGAATTATTCCAGGATTGGGCAGGAATGGCCAGTGAAGAATGGCAGAGATGGACTGTCAGCAGGAGAGACCTGACACTGAAGTGGGGATACTCAGGGAGTATCCGTGGGGACCCAAACGTGGGATTCAAATTACAAAGACAACGGCAAAAACCGGTCTCTTCCTCCTCTTCAGCTGTGTCCCCATTATGCAAGAACAAGGACCTACTCAAATCCACAGGGCAGCTAACCAGGGAATGGATAAAGCAATATTTATTTACCCAGCCACAGCATGTGAGAGTCACTGATGCAGGAAGTTCCTGAGAAACAGAATTCGTAGCTGTAATTTAAAGGGCTCCTGATAATTTTATAGTCAAGAGCGTTTCTAGCTTTGAAAGCTCCTATAAAAAGTAGTAATATTAATTGCCACTATTCAGCTCTAAAAATGAACACCTGAGCACCACAACTACTGTGACAGGGAGGACACCAGACCAACTGCATTAGTGTCTTGACCAGAGGGGCAGCTCCTACATCTCCACACCTGATTTTTGTGCATTTTCACCCATTTTGATAATGAAGCTGCCTCTGTAGCCAAAACTGCTTCATGCTTTTCAGTGCGGTGAATTACTCTCCCACGTACCACAGAACACATGCAATATTTCCAGGGTTTATTACTGTTCAAAGTCTCAAATACATTCTTTGGTTTTATTGAGCCAATTTAAAAAAAAAAAAAAAAAAAAAATCAAGTTGGGCACTGACACTTTGGAGCCCATGCTCATGGTCTCAAAGTGTCTAGAGGTCTCAGTAAGATCTCAGTTGGTTTTATTGAGCCAATTTAAAAAAAAAATAAATCGAGTTGGGCACTGACACTTTGGAGCCCGTGCTCATGGTCTCAAAGTGTCTAGAGGTCTCAGTAAGATCTCAGGACCAGGAATATTAGGTTTGGGTCTGGCACGGGAAAAGTTACCTCATTTTCTCCCAGGTTGACAAGCATCAGAGAAGTCACACAAGTTTGAAACAGGAGGTCGTTGGTTCATCCCACAGTCTAACACAGAATATGGCCTTCCCCCTCAGGAAAGCATGTTGTTCACATCCCTGTGACGCTGCCTGGTGAGCAATCTGTTCCCAGCTTAAAAAAAACAAAACAACTAGCGGAGTCTCCAGAAACGCTCGCTCCAACAACAAAGAGCTGGAAAATGCTTTCAAAGGAGCCACAAATCCACCAGGCCAAAGCAGGGCGCCGCCGCAGATCTGGCAGGCGAGGCCGGAGGAACAGGTTCAGCAGGAAGCATTCAGCTTTGCCCTTCCTCCTCATGTCACCCCTTTGAAAACCAGGAATGAGCTGATTTACCTATCCAAACCTCAGGCACTGCTACAAAGTCCCTCTTCAGCACACGTACACAGGCGTGTGGATGCACTGGATGCACCCTCCTTACCTTATTTAGCCATTTCAGCCCCGGTATCGTGTTAGAGTTGATCTGCTCTTCCAGCCAGGGGCGCATCCGCATCCTTTCGACAGGCATTGTCACCCAGCCGGGACGGAGCTGCAGGGAACAAGGGACACGTTTACTTGTTTTCCAGGCAGAACTCCCAGGCTGCTCCCTCATCTCTGCACAGTACAGACTTATTAAGGCTTTGCAGGCATCCAACAATTATAAATACAATAGTGACTTTGGATCTGTGCGGGAGCCTCCCCTAAGAGCAACTGAGATGATAAAGCCTTCTCTATGGCAGAAAACACTTTTCCGGTACACTGGATTAGGAAAATCTTCACCTGAAGAAAACACATCATATTGGCAAAAGCTTGTCTGCTGATACAGGCGAGATACCAGAGGCTGCAAATTAAAACAATTATGCTCCTGAAGAGACCTCTTTTTTGGCCCACATACCTGCATTTGCACAAGACCTTTTTTTGCCAACGCAAAAGATGTAACCAAACCAATTCACATGCAGGAGGCATCACTGTACGAGCTAAAATGATGCACCTGCTAACGAGAGTGCTTTCAATAGGCTGTGTCTGTCCCATACACTTGACCAAAATTAAGCAAAACACATTTCACATCACAGCAATCATCAGACCACTTTGGTTCTGGCTGAGTAGTTTGATCCCCTCCCTCCAGCTCTCTCTGATCAACCCAGTCTCTCATTTTTTAGCTGCTATTTTACATTTTGATACTGCTTAGCTGGAAACTAAGTGCTTTACAGCCCCTTCAGCTGCACCACACCACACTGTATTGTTAAGCTTAGACTCAAACAGACTTTTTTTTTTCCTTCTCTCTCTCTCTCTCACACACACACACGTGACCCCGATGCCACTTCCCTGTTTAGAGCTGTAAATTATTGACATAAGAGTCCGAAGTCTTGAACTCAAGGCAGAAAATTTTAAAAACATTAACCTGCCTCAGGCACCCCTCTGAAAGCATCAACGGGCACTAGATGCAGATTAAAACAGCGCATTAAACTCCTGTTAACCAGCCTGCAACCCATCATTTCCATGTTCAAGTACTTGCATTTAGGCTGCTTCTTCTCCTCTCCCCCTCTGCACCAGGCTCAGCTCCTTCCTCTCTCCTTTGTTCTTCACATCTGTGTTCTCTGCATCATTCTTAACTTCTCTGCTCCGCTATTCTTGTCACCTTTGATCTTAAAAAAAAAAAAATAAAAAAGAGAAAGGAAAAAAAAAAAATGAGTAGGCCACGTATTTGAAAGCACGCAGCAATGACACAAATGTAAATGGGTTTGTTCTTGCTTCCTATGGGAGTACAGGCATCAGACAGACTAACAATTAGGCAGTACCAAGCCCACACCCAGCACAAGAGGAAGAAAAACGTTCAAAGTTTCCTCTCATTGCTCTGAGGACATGTATTTCCTGAAACTAATAAGGAATTAAAACCTGAGTGCAACAATAAAGCTCTTTGATGTGTTCAGAGAATTTACCAGCAGCCGTGCTCACACTAATCTCTAGGCAAATATATTGGCATTTTATTTACTACCGTGTGGAGCTGGTGACTCGTGCTTCAGCCACAGCCTTTTCCAGCGAGTACAAATTTCTAAAATAGCTCAGAAAACGGTTGCAAGTGCTCAGCTCCCTGTCAGGTTCAGGGCAGACACGAAAAAACAGCCAGCCCCAGAACCTGACCTTGTGCAAACCCCTTCTCTGTGCAAGAGGGAAGCTGTTTTCTGGGGAAGGGCAATGTGGGTGCAGTTGCTGCAGCCCCCTCAGCTTGGCACCAAGGGTTCCCATCCAGGTTTGCCCACGGGAGATCAGTACCACCTTCCCCTCCTGCACCTTGTGTGAAAGCTGAAAAATGCAAGTGGCAACGTACTCAAAACACGAGTGAATTTCAATTCATCTCTCAAGAAACAAACAAGCAGATGCAACCATCATCTTAGATGCGTTCCTTTGTAAGGTATCTTTAAGTAAGCGTGCACTTTGAGACAATTCCTGGAAACACTGTGCATCATCTCCAGCATTCGACGCGCGAGAGCTCCCGTTTAGCAGAGGGACTCTTGTCTTCTGGGTAACAAGCCCCTAAGACAAATCCCCAGCCCGTCTGAATGAAGACATCAGACAGAAGGCAGAAAAGTCATCTTGAAGGCAAGAGCAACGAATCCCACTTGGGACAAGCAACGGGGGAGAAACAGAAGCTGCCTTTGTGCAAAAGCGAGGCGTTTTGGGAGACGAGAGAGCTGCCAACATTGCTACTCTAAGGAAGCCGGTCTTGCCCAAAACAGCTCTGTCGAGCCAGTCATCTCTTCCCTCCCACGTCCCCGGGGGGCTCCCCCAGCTGCTGGCCCGCAGATGCTGTGGTGCTCAGCTCCTTTTCGGCACCCTGGGACTCCTCCAGGATTAGCACCCGCAGCTGTCAGCACACACCTTCGCATCCATCACCCACACCAATTAGTCCCGAAGTAATCAGAAAAGAGGTTTGGCTTGTGAGGAGGGAGGAGTGGCTCCCAAGATCTGTTTATCCGAAAGTAAAACCAAACTCAGCTAAAAATAACCCTCAGTGATGTTCAGCTGGAGGGATGGTGGACATCTTCTGGGGGATCGTTCTTCACAGTGAGGGGGGGGGGGCAAGCACAGCATGCTCCTGCTCATCAAAACACACCCTGAGCTCCTCGCGCTGCAGAAAATAAAGCCTGACATCTTCACAAGACACCCCCAGACCCATCTGCCTCAGGACAGCACTGACCACAATGGTGCTAAAACGTAGCGGGGTTTTTTGGCAGTTGCATCTCAACAACATCCTTGCGATGAAAATACCAAGTCAACTCTACCGGCTAATTGCCTGTGGGAAATGAAGGTGCCACCACTCCCCTCCCGAGCTGTCAAACAAATTTGTACAGAAAGAAACAACAACTTCTGCAGTGCCTTAAAAATAGCCTCTGTCAGTCCCTAAGCAAGGTTAATGCGTGCACTTGGGAGTCTTATTTTGATGGCTCCAGGTGGGAGAACCTGAAGTCCATCCATCAGTGAGGAGCGGGACAATCACCTCTTGCCATTAAAATTCATTCAAGTTTATAAAGACCTTTGAAATTCTCCAAAATAGGTGGGAAAGGCTCGTAAAGTTTCAGGGGCCACCATTTAACATCAAGCCAGCTTCACTCTCTGTCAGAATACATTAATTATAAAGGAAACCTACAAAGCCAGAAACTAAGGTGAGCCATAGGAAACAGCAGACACGCCAGGTCCCTCCACTCCAGCTTCTCTCCTGTGTACCCCGTGGAAAGGAAAATGCAGAAACAGTCAATCCTTGCAAGGGGAACGAAACATCAACATTTATAATCTGAAACAGGCTGTAAAACCAGGAGGACCTATGCACCTATCTGCCATTCCTGGTCCACGTTGACATTGTACTCCCTCTACACATTTAGATGTAGAAGAGCCTACATGCAGGTGTCTTGGGATGAGTTGGCTCCTACCAGTATTTGCAGAGCTGCCAAGGCATCCAGTTCCCACTAGCTTCACCATCACCATGAGCTCTGTCCTGAGCAAACCTCTCCAGACCTTTGCCCACCTGTATCTTCTTGCTCAGGTTAACTGGGAGAAAAATGGCCTAATGCCTGCCTTGGGTCACTTGGCACCATCTTCCTCCGTCTCAGAGAGACCATGGATGGAGACAGCTGGGCTGGGAGAGGAGCAACTCCAGCTCCACCAGCAGCAAAGAAGCACTTCTCACTCCATCGCCCCCACCCTTTGGTCCCATCCTAATGTTGTCAGATGCTAATGCTGCTCTTCCCATAGGCAGCTTTGTGAACAAGAACAGGGAACCCAGCAGGGCTACAAGCGGCACCTCTTTCCATAAGGCTTTTTTAGCACCGTCCCATGGTGGGGGAAGGGAAGAATAGCCACCAAGAAACATAGTCAACTGCTAATGCAGATGAGACCCAAGAAATCAGTTTTCTACCTTGCAAGAAAAGGAGAGCTCATTTAGACATGGAAGTAGCGTTACCTGCTGGGAACTCATTTTATGAATGCTTGCCATTCTTCACAGTACACCCAACCTTCAAAAGCCACAATTCTGAACCATACCTCCTACAAATGTGTTGAGGCTGGTAGCTCCGTGAATGTTATTTCCCCTTTTCTGCTCCATTTTTATCACCCGCCTCCTTTTTAAAGGGGCCCATAGTCAGGGGCGGTTGCCTTTTCGGTGGTGGGAGCTTAAATGTATCAACAGACACCAAGACATCACTAAAATTATTCCCAAACAGGCGCCAAGTGTGTGAGACACTAGCCCCCAACTCAATGGCATTTGCCTGGAAGGGGAGGCCACGGGCAGAGCCTGAGAGGAGCCAAGCCCCACACAAGAAGCACAGCCCACAGATGCGCTGACACGACAGCTTATGGAGGGATTATTTCCGCCCCCACACAAGAAGCACAGCCCACAGATGCGCTGACACCACAGCTTATGGAGGGATTATTTTTTAGAAGTTTTATTTACTGTACCATTCGTGCTAGTCCTGCAGTCAGTTCAGCCCTTATTACTGAAACTAGATACCACAAAAACATGGTGGTGGCTACCCCCCAACAAGCTGTAAACTCTCCTAATCCTGCAGGCATGACTCAGAGGAAGACCCTGCAGAGGCTGGATGACAGGATCTGCTGAAGTCCAACCAGAATAACCCAGTAAGGAACAGAGAGACTGGGAGGAGGCCAGTCAGTAACTTCACTCCTGCTACCACACGGTGCACTTGAAAATGAGCTTTCTACATGGGAACGAAGCCTAGTGTGAAGGATGCGAGCCAACTTTCTAAGACAGACACAAGAAGAGTGGTGTAAGAGGGAAGCACAGGTAAAACAATGCTTTTAGGAGCAGTCACACAAAGGGCATTGAGCAGGTAGATGTCACCACAGCATCCTCAAGACACAATAAATCATACAGAATTTCAGCTCTATACTACCTCGCAAGATGTATTTTTCTAAGATTCTTTATCCAAGGCTGTTCAGAAGGAAGCTCATCACAGCACTCATTTATTTTTAAAGAGATATTAGAAATATATTAGGTATTTTCAAGAGCTATTCATCTTAAAAGAGACGTAAGCAATGGCTGCAATCTATATGTAAATATTTTCACTCAATAATGTTCAATAAAGAGCTTGTAGTCCTCCTTACTCTCCGCTAAAACATTCTAGTAAGTCTGACTTCTGTTTTTTTCCCCTGGCAGAGAAAACACTCCTGCCATACAGAAAGTGTAACCTTTAAGAATGAAGAGCTCTTCACTAGAATTATGGCAGCTGTAGACAGAAAGTGAAAGCAACGGCATGGCAGGCATTAAATCTGAGCAGTACATGATGTCCTCTTCCCTTCAGTTTCGCTCCCTCTGACAGGGCCTGGATAACTGAAAAGGCACAAAGGTTATCCCCAAAACACAAGCTACTCTATGCCTACAGGTATTTTTTTAAAAAAATGTATTTCTATGGAAATTAAAAAAAAAAAAAAAGAAAATCTGAAAAAGCAATTATTCTTTCCCCATCGCAAAGTACCCAGTTAAAAGATTTGCCAGTACATGGAAATGTTATTAATGGTTGTGAGAAGGGAAAGTGGGTAAGAGACTCTGAGGTGCATTTGTGGAGTGTGTCACAGCCTTTCTCCAGAGCTGTGAAAAAACATCTGCTCCCCAGGGGACTCCTGCAGAATATTGCATGGAATCCATTTATCTTTTTTCTGCAAGTACAGAACTGACAATGTGTTGTTTTTTTTTAAAAAGTTATCTTGTACTTGTGCTTTGCTGATAAACTTTTAAACTATTCCCGTTGTTTGTTAACGCTGATGCAGTTCAGTAAAGCATCAATCATCCTGCGTGACCAAATAGATATGCTGAAATGAGACCATACGCTAATTTTAGGATTCAGAGAACTGGGTTCTGTATTTGTCCCCGTGCCAAGACTGTTCCAGGATACATGGAAACATGATCTTATTTTAAGGAACAGTACTTGGAGCAAAATTCTGTCCCTTGGTCACAGCTCAGACTCTGCCTTCATATAGAATTTTGCATATAAGACCACTTTTTTCAACTATTCCACTGTGGATGCCCCTTTTAAAGGTAAACATGTATTTAACCCTACATACTCTGAGCAAAGCCCTGCTTGGAAGTCAAGCTCGCCGGAGGAGCTGTGAAAAAACATCTGCTCCCCAGGGG